TCATCTGCTCACCGAGTGCCCTGCCTTGACATGGGCAAGATTGGGAGTCTTCGGAACGGCCCTGATCGATCCGGACTCAGTGCACGGTATTGGGCTAAAGGAGTTGCTGACCTTCTACAGGAGGGGCGGCATTCTGGACGCCCTCTAGAGCGGCCTGGGGGCACAACGGGCCCATCTGGTGGCCTAAGTGCTTGGACGCCCTCGAGGGCGCCCCCCTTTAATACCAATACCAATACCAATGCCCCTCAACATCTTCGATCCGTCAAAGACAAGATCTCATTTCACGAGTTTACAGCATTTCATACATATGCGGCAAAGAATAAATTGGAGAGACCGGACGAAAAAAAGAAGCCTGTAGAAGTTTCCTTGAAAAATTAATTGTCTAGTCATTAGAAATTATATCTGTTAAACAATAAAGCTTATTATCAAACGGTATTTGTGACATATAAGGTAAACTCACAAATTGTATGGTATTACCTGTCCCGCCAATGTGAGGTTCAACGAAATAACGTATATATATATTAACATAATATAAATATAATACGGGCGTAAGTGATACTAAAAGAACATTATTAATTCTTATTGAAATTATTAAACAAGTTCCTATATATAAAGGTTGCATAATTTCTTCTCGATTAACCGATGCAAATGCCTCTCCTTTTTGTTTTCGGTTAGCTTGCAGTATACCTGAGCCGAGTCAAGGTCAATGATAATTTATGTACAATTCCACTATTTTACGCGGAGAGTATATGAATAATGGAGATTCCTCGATCCCGAGCCAAAAAACTCGAAAATAACTTTTTCCTGGTGTGTATTTTGGGACCACAATGACGTCCAACGGCAAGTTGCGTGTGCCGCGGGTGAAATACGTGCCAGGGGGCGCCAGGATCGATAAAGTTTGGCTTTTGTTCTCTCCAAGCACGAAATTATATTTTTGTATAGTCGGGTTTATTCTGTAAGGTTAATCTAGAACATTATAATTTTAAAAAACCACAAGCATATAACAATTATTATTATGAGCTTAACAATATTATCAGGATCCGATATATTTTTCTATTAGCGTGATTGCTTCCATGGCACTGTCTTGTAACAGTTTGTCGAAACAGGCTTCACTTTAAATGTTGCATTGCTATGTATAATTCCTTAATAAGAGTTCTATAGGATTAAGATAATGTACGTAGGAAGAAGTCATATCTCACAGAACGATGTGTGTAAATGTAATATTTTTTATCGGATATCCACTTAATTTTATTTTATTATACCTAAGCCTCCAAAATAGACACATGGGCGTAATTCCATTTTTTATTGCTCGTTCAGTTAAGAGAAACAGCTTATAGTAGTTTAGCGGTTGTAAGATTGCTATATTTAATCTTCTTTTTGTTTTACCTAATATGGTTCTGTGCAAATAAACTGAAGTTTTGACATTTCCAATATGAGGTAATAGAAATGATTCGAGAGGTTCGGTAAACATTGAGACAGGAGATTTTTGGGATTGAATCAAAGTTTAGAGGCACATGGGAGCAAAAAAGCAGAAGCAAAAATGTTTTCCAAGTCGCCTTGACTCTACCATTTGAAAGACTTGGTTGCTCATGGTATTCTTCCGGAGTTAAACAAAGGAACAATCTTATGTCACCACTGGGATTAATGGAAGGTATTTAGCAATTTGTAAATAATTGTGCCTCTCGTGTGATTCTCGCGATGTTTAACGAAGCGGCCTCTAAACGCCAAGAAATTTCACCACCAGCGAATAAAAACTTCGAAGCAAAAGTCGGACATCCTTCATAGACGTTGCCGTATCCTTCAAATCGATACGCGAACATGCAAAACGTGAGAAAAGATACTCGGTCATTAATTATCGCCCCTGGATATTCGTCTACTTTCTATTTTCAAAGAGTCTGCGACGATGCCAAGTAACCGTTTTTTTCCTTGCTCTCGTATATCGAGAGTTACTCGAAGACGTCTGAAAACGTAAACCCACGCAAATAGTTTCGCGCGGCGCTAGATAACATCTGGTCACGCGTTTTCGCCAATTAAACGGAGCTTTGGTAGATACCGTCCGCTTCCTGGTAGGCCGGGCCCCGTATCCATCCACGCCGGCGATATAAAACTCATTAAATCCAAACGAGGTTGGGTTTAATTGCCGAACGCATTATTAATAATTCGGTATATTACAAGATGATGGGGAAACGAAGGTACTAAATTAATGGCCAGCTTCGGATCGGCGTTGCCGCGTTTAATCTCCATCGGAAATTCCCAGGTATCTTTTCCGGGATCTTGCTATGCCCTTCGGGCTGAACCACGTAATTAATGGCCAGCTTCGGATCGGCGTTGCCGCGTTTTATCTCCATCGGAAATTCCCAGGTATCTTTTCCGGGATCTTGCTATGCCCTTCGGGCTGAACCACGGCATGATTTTGAACATATTATTAGTGTTATTTCGGTTTTTGTAGGGTTTTTAATTATTAAACAGACTTTGTGATCATTTACTAATAGTTTACTATTCGATTAATGCTTTGTAAATAAAAAAGTAAAAATGAAACAAGAAGTTTAAGTATGTTATTGCAAATTAAAATATGCCTACAAATATTAATTCTCAACATCCATTATCTAAACTTATTAGTTGAGGGTTCCCTACTGGCTTGTACTAGCTTGGCTTCAAACGATACTACAATCGGAGAGAAACATCCCGAAACAATGACAGATAAACAATGCTTATGTTTATAGGATACTTCAAATGATCTAATGGGCTTTATTCATTTCCAATTCTAATACCTACAAAGTAATGACGAACTCTGTTAAATAGTCTCGAATAATCGTTGACAGTTGACAATTAAAATGGCCGACACTACGTGAACACTAATACAGCGTGTTCCGCGTTTTGTTTGAGGAATAAACTGACGAATACCAGTTGCCAACCGCGTCTTTTGTCGATCATGAAACTTTGCGCTAGGCTTTAAATAGCAACTACGTATTAGTTCCCGGCCAGTGTTTATCAAAACTAGAGATGTAACTGGACAGCCAACATCCGAAACACATTACAATTTATTCAAGAAGAACCAGTATTGAGAGTTTCAGTTTGGCAGTGCTCACTTTGAGAGACCATTTTGACTTCGATAACTTATTGGTGAGTTTGCGATGAGGGGAAAGTCAGCAAATCGTTTACATGTATTGGCAACATCGCATGCGGCTTGCGCTTTGCAGAACTGCGTTATCGTTATGGCCGTGACCTGGCAACGTATATTTTTTTGGTTTTCATTTTAAAAGTAGAAAAAAGAAAATCATAAATGAGGAATTAGTTTATTTTGGCTCTAAAAATGCCGCCAAGAAATAAATAAATCTGGCACTGCTGTAACGAATGGAGGCAATCCAAGATAGCTGATTTCGCTTGTTGTTTGCAGATCTTGTATGTACTTAAATAAATCTATTGGGTTAGTTTGGTTCATTGTCAAGTTTTTTTTTCAGCAGTTTCTACGGGGGCGGTGTCTTTTTCTATATATGATGTCGATTTCTGGACATTCTACTTATAACTTTTATTTCTTTCGATTATAAAGCGATTTCTCGCCATCAGAGTTACTATTCTTCAATTTTAGGCAAAGGCCAAACAGCTAAATGTGCCATAATCTTGAAAATTTTATTTTTTAAAAAAGGCAAATTTTTACTTCCTAGTGTTCTGTCGGTCATCAATGATATAAATGGGAAAAATAGCAATATTATAAGTTAAAAGTTTGCCTTCTGTTTGATTTTGGTGCTTATTCAACACTAAATTAAAAAGTTAACCAAAAACTTCAATGATAATAGTACCAATCTGCCTAGTGGCATGATATTATCAATACCGATTATGAGGAGGCTGTCGAGAGGACATTGAGGTTGGTTACTTAAACGGCTAACTTCATCGAGAATTTGCGTGGATAATCTTTCACTTTTCCTCTCAACTTTAAACCTTGTTTACAATCTCGCGCAACGTTGATCATCCATATCGCAGCTAGCCGTCGATTGTTGATGGAGATCCTCTTAACCAAGCAATGAATACACTATTATTCAATACCAAGTAATATTTTCAAATGTGCACGCCAAATTCTGTACTGTTTTCTCCGTAAAAAAAATATCTCGTTAATTTAACGCTTAAAACGGTCACGCTTCAACATCGGTATTACCTCCATCAATATATTAAATAAATTATTATTAGAAAGTGGTATATGTGCGATTTCAAATTACACGCCGCGTGGCTCGTTAAAATCGCCAGGCAGTGTCCGAATCGCAACTAGCAGATATTGTTTAAGAGTGTCCATTCTATAACTACTCCTTTTCTTTCACGTAGCACAAAAGAAAACCCACAATTAATGATAACATCGCAATTTGCCAAATATTTCGACCTTGTTTGGGCAATTGCTGGCTTTCTAATACAAGCTTGCCGAAAATCCTTATTAAACGCTGGCGAACAGACCTCTGCATTTTTTCCGTATTTTTAATTTGAAACTAATCGTCGTAAGGTCAACCAAACGAGAGCCGACATTATCTCGACGGTGGTAGAGCTGTAATTACGTCTCGACAAATCTGTACAATTATCTAAAATCGTAAATTACCCAACAATGGTCCGCGGGTTGCCTTGAACACGGCAAACAACCTGCACCTAACCCGACTAAAATATTGATTTTAGATAGCGCCGCTTTTTTTTATCAACAAAAGCTCCCTCCGTCGTCGCGCCGAGCGATAAGAAAAGACCCTACTGAACATGTCCAAGGTCTAAATTCTTTTCGCCCCAAATCGCGATAACATTCGCCGCATTGGTACCTAATCTGCCTGTCGCAAAAACCTGCTGTGACATAACGCGAATGAAAATTGAGGAATAACCATACCCGCCACCGACGCTACTGGGAACTTTAATTACATCCCAGAACGGAGCCACATAAAATATTCCACCTCAGCGGTAGAAAATTATGAACCGGACCACCTCAACATCTTTAATTCGGGAAAATATCGATTTTCACATAAACAACCAACCTTGTATAACCCGTTCAGGGTAAGAGCTCGTACTGCGGAAACGCACAGTCCAAAATACCGGTTGAAAATCGCCCCCAGATTCGGCACCGCGCCGATCAAGACGTAACCAAGGAATTTGTTTATTTCTATTGACAGTTCACCACTCTTTCAACCGAGCGAACGCACCAGGCGACGCGCATCTCACAACATTTCAGAGCACACTGCTGACTGGAGTGGTTGACTGAAAGTTTGAATTGTAACGAGTCGCGCAAGCCGCCAGGGGGGGACACACCTCGGTGCCGAGAGTTCCTCTGAGCAGATTCCTGGTCGACCCGCGTCTAAAGAGGTTTCGCTAATTGGACGTCAGATGCCGCAAGGCTCGGCGTAGAGAATGAGATTGTAGACACTGGAGGGAGCATATTTGCCATTTTACAATTCAATAAAACCTGTTATGTTGATATTGCTCAGCAACAGTTCTAATATATCAAATATGAAACTTTAAAGGAAAAAGTACCTTTTCAAAATCGAAAGACAACACAAAAAACAATAAATAACAATTATGTAACAATGTCATTATTTAAACCTACCTAGAAACCCTTCAGGAGAACTGTAGTAATATTCTTGCAACTTCCCAACAGACTGTAGAGCTGACCCTCTGTAATATTTAATTAATTTCATAGGGGATCGCTAGTTTGATTGCGCAATGTAAGAATGTCCTTTGAGCTACAGTCTCTGTAGTAAACCCGATTAAAATTTCACGTTTTGGAATTAATAACGGTACGGTTTCTACAACGCACCGAATGTGAGCAGCCATCAGAAAGTAAATTCGCGAATAGGACCCGCTGTCAGCAAAACAACTTCTAAACTACCATCTGAAACCACTCTTGCGCTATCGGTGGTTGTAATTATTGATACTACATTTCCATAAACGTTTTGTTTAGTTTTGACTCTGGTTATAGGAGACTTGGACTAGGGCCAAGCTAACCTTCCCATTAACATCTCATTTCTACTACAAAATGTGGATGGAAATGGAATAAACTATCCAACTGATACTACTGATGGATTTAGTGTAGCAGCTTTTTTTAGGTCTTCATTCTTCAAAAGAAAAGTTCTCTCAAATAAAGAACACATTGCAAAAATACCTTTTCTTATTGTATTTTCTAGATACCATCTAGATCATCTGGTTCAGATTTATCATTAATACCAAACCCACAACTACAAAATGCCAATTAACAATTCAGGTATTTGTCTACTCTACAAACAGAAAGTCAATTTCTCATATCTTTTGTCCAATATCCCAAGATAATAAAGGCTTCACTAATAAAGAGATGTTTATAACCTCGTTTTATCATTTATTATTATGGCCAGCTAAATCTTAATTTTCTGGTTGACAGAGATCAATTTTCATGTAACTCTAAGACTGACACGAAATTAAACTCAAACTCAACTCAAATATTATATTCCTCCCAAATCATTCGTCAGCCATCCAAATATCCGACGTGCAGTCTCCACCGGGATATCTCATTTCGTGCGGTAAGAGTGGACCATCTTCGGTTTCGGAAAAGTCCACCAGGAACTTTTCGTCGAGCTTCATCCCACCGTTCTCGACGTCCACGTCGATTTTCACAATTTTCCCACCTTCCTTGATTGTCTCAGGATAAAACTGACGATCCCATGGGGAGAACAAGCTCGAGCTGACGTAAAGTCTACAAAATGTAGGCGAAAGTGCGAAATGGTTGTCGACGGTTTCGGATTTTCGTACCTTTTGCCATCCAAAGAGAGCTGCAACATCTGAGGTCCTCCGAAGAATCGTTTTCCTTTTAAGTATACCGGCTCCACGGGAGTTGTTTTTTCCGGATCATCCAATACCTGGATAGCAGAGTCTTTAACCAGCTTTCCGCCGAGAAATATCTGTCCCGTAAGCTTTGGGCGAGACCTATCGCTTATATCGTACTGCCTGACGTCTCCCTGCAGCCAGTTGCTGAAGTAGAGGTACTTGTCGTCCAGCGAGATCAAAATGTCAGTGATCATACCTGAGAAAAACATATTCTTCTATTTATTCAACAGAGTGGTCAGGAAGAGTACAAGTAGTTCCTTGGTCTCTTCGAAGCCGCCAAGCATATTTTCCAATAGCTCTATAATGCCTATATACATGGCAGTAGGACAAAAAAACGCAAACCATTAGTTATTAGTCTTAAGGTAATTCTATTGTGGTCTAGTATTAGTTTGATAATTTGTTTTATGAGACAGGTCATACCGGACACTACTTAGATAATTGCAAGACGTTACCGTTCACCGTGTTGCCAAGCATCCACTCGGACACTTTCTTTCTTGGTATATCGATCACTTTCTCGGTTCCCCAGGTACCGTCGTCCTTCAAATAAAACCTGTAATCTCCAAATTAGCCATTACTGACATTTGAGTCGGTCCATTTAAACTCGCCTGATGATGGTGGAGCTAACGGCGCATCCGACGTAACCCTGTTTCTCCTTAGGGTCGTGCAAAAATCTTATCTCCAGTGGAGCCACCCCGTCGCCATCAAGGTCGATGGTCTGGATCAGTTGCCTCTTAGACCACGAGTAAAAGTTGATCGATTTCCCAAACGCTAAGTTCTCCACCGAATCTCCAGGGTGGACTCCAGTTTTGAAGATCCTGGGTGCACCCCATTCAGAAGAAACCATGACGTCGTAGTACGGCTGGTACCAGAAGTCGTAGTTGAATTTGGCAGAGTCGCCCTTAACCCAGGTGCCTGTAATTTTGTTTTAGTCGCCGATCTGATGGATAGGATGGGCAAACAAAGTACCTTTGACTGTGAAAGTTTTGCCATCGACGAGGACGTAGTCGCTTTTTGGGTTCCCGTCTACATCACCCATTACGGAGATCATTATGTCGCCCGTAGCCAAGCAATGGGCAGTATGGGGAGTCGAGCAATTCAATTTTTGCATTTCCTCGCTTTCTATGACCTAATGATAGGAAAAACATTTTTGAACGTTTGTTGTCTTGGGTTGTTGAATACGTTGCTTTGGAGTACGACCAGGAGTGTGGGACAAAAGGAAATTAAACTTGTTAAGTAGTTTCAGGACGCTTTTCAAAACTGAGCTTAAAATAAGTGGACTTCAAAGTTTCTTATATGTACATCAGAATTTATTTTTATGTACAAAGTTTCTGTTTTTGTTGGTAGAATACTATTGTTCAGTTAATAATTAATACTGAAAATTAATTACCAACGCAAGTTTAAAACGTATTCGTTTATCAAATGTTATTCTGTTCGCAATAGAACACTCCCCCTGAAGTAAAAAATAAAGACAATGCTTTGGAGTTTCAGTTACTATAAAATTTTAAGTTAGAGCACTGGCAATAGTATATTATGCAACAATTGCAGTAAACGGTATTTGACCCACGAGTTCATTTGATACGAACATAGCGAGTGTTTTACAAACGAGTGACTTAAAAAGTTTACCGAATGTGTTGCATACTATACTTTTTCTAGATCCGTTATTTTTTGGTACATTTTCGCAAAACAACACGAATACATTCACTGACATGACTGGCGGAATTGACAAACGTCAAAATTCAAAGCGCGGGAAATATCTCGGAAAACATCCGATCGCTCTCAAACCCGTGCGGTAAAATCACGGAAATGTCCGAAGTGGCTCGGATTCGTGAGAAACAAAACTGACGGATCGGTGCGTAATTAGGTATTTTACAGACGGGAGTAGAAAAATCATTAAGTTAATTAAAAAAAGGAAAACCAGAAGACCCAGATTTTCTACATCGATTATCGCAATATACATTAACTCCTCTTATAGGTAAAATGCAAGATGTATAATTTATTTATTTATTATTTATTCATTGGATTTATTATTTCTGAAATTGATTCAAAAATTTTATTGGGAGCACATAGAATTGCCACTAGTCTAGTAAATTAACCGAGACCCCGAAGGCAATCAGTTTTCTCAAAAGAATTGATGTATTTATTGAATATATGATTTCTGATAGATGAGAAAAAATACATTTACATAAAATCGATTAAAAAAATTACTGGTTGCAGTTGCCCAGGTTCTATAGTTGTTAAAATGGGAACATCACCCTCTATCATCTCGATAGATGCTAGAATATTCTTTGGTTTTCAAAATTAGGATAATGAAGCAATTGAAGAAGCCAATGAATGCGGATTTTAATTATCTATCTTATCGGGCCCACCGACTTTTTAGGGTTTATCCTCTTGGTATGGTCTGTTCATAGATATAAGAAAGTGACCAATTGCTTTTGAATGGGATTATCCAAGGGTGGTCATTAACATACAATGCAACAAGAATATTACCTAAAGTTTCGGAATTTAAATTCAGGTAAAATTGTGGTCCGTAATAGAAAATAATTTTATACCTACTTTTGTTTACTATTCTTTGGTTCGGTATACTAATCATTCTTATTTCGAGTGTAATACAGCGTGTGTTGAATCGTGTGCGAATTATGCAAAATATGTGTGAGTCAGGGGATGCTCCCGCCCAAATGTAGAAAACACTATTCTATTGAGACTAAGGAAGTTATAAACAATGTTTATTTGACTCTCATTGAACGTGGTGCCAGCAAGCAAGCGCATCTTTAGAACAAACGGCCACATTGACGAAAATTCCAACATCAACTGTATGGAAAATTGTGAATAATCCTATTTCAGCGAGGAAAAAAAGAAGCGATGCTGACAATTTCTCGAGTGTAGATGAAAGTGATCAAGATATAGCACGGCATAAAATTTACCAGTTATACGACGAACAAAGCGTGCCTACATTAGATATCTTAATTAGGAGGCTTCAAAAAGATGAAACATGTGTTAAATGTGGCAGAACTACCTTATGGAAGTGCATTAAAGATATGGGTTTTAGATTTTAAAAAAAATTGACAAAAGGCAAGTTTTAATGGAATCTTTTAGAATTCGGAAAATGGAAACTGGAATATCTACAAAAAATAGGATTTACAGAGAACAACAAAGGCCAATTATTTACTTAAATGAAACCTGGTTCGACACCTATGATACCCCGGAAAAGGGTTGGGTTGACTCAACTGATAAGTGTAAAACAAACGCGCCATCAAAAAGAGGTAAAAGAATAACTATTTTGCATGCTGGCTCTAAAGATGGTTCAATTCCAAATGGACTTTTTCTGTCTGCGAAAAATATTAAAGATTCTTCTCTGGATTACCATAAAGACACCACCGCTGACTAATTTTAAAGTTGGTTTAAAAACAAACTAGTTCCTAACATTCTTCCTAATAGCGTAATTGTAATGGACAATGCAAGTAAGTTATCACAGTAGACAGTTGACTAAAACCCCTTCCTTATGCGACACAAAAGCAACAATCCAAAAATACATGTATAATAACGACATTTATTTTCACGAAGATTATACCAAAAAGCAATTAATTGAGGTTCTACAAATCTTGAACCTACAAAAGGAATACGTCTGTGATAATTATGCAAAAAATCTACTGCATACAGTTTTAAGGCTTCCACCTTACCACTGTATATTTAATCCCATTGAACATGTTTGGCACCAACTGAAATCTGCCATTCGTCGTAAAAATGTTTTTCCCCGTGTTAACTTCAATGTCCTCAAACATATAGAAACCGAAGTTTTTAACATCCCTCCACAAAGTTGGGCAAATTCTGTTAAACATATAGAAAAAACTGAACAATCGTTTATCCATATTGCAAATAATATAGAATAAATAACAATTAGAAGAGGCGATGATAGCGATAGTGTTACTGATATATTATGTGAATAATTTTAAGTAATTTAAGTAGGTAATAAAAATAATTTATAATTTTATTTTAGATTTAAACATAAATACATAAATAAATAAATAAATATTATTTAGTATCTTTCCTAAAACAACCCCAAATAATTAAATTCTAAGCAAAGTACGGACCTGTTCGGCCATATTTCATTCTTACAGCTTGCCCGAGTCTTTCCTTAGTTCGTATCAGTTAGTTAGTCACTTTCTTATATCTATGAACAGACTTTATTTCTGTCAGCCGTACGATCAATTTGAAAAGAGTACATATTGGCACTAGACCTTGAAAATTGTGGGTCTCCTCGGATCCTTCCCGACATCCACGACGTAGATCCTATCCGACATGAGAGCGGGCAAAATCAGCTTGTCCCTCTTGCAACAGTTCTTTTTTCCGTGGCAACTGGAACATATGTTCCATCCGCTGTGGTGCAATTCGTCGTTCTTTCGACCGGTTCGCAGCAGGTTGATGATCTGAAACTCGGCATGATCCACCAAAATACGCGAAAGTTGTTTCCTACCTGACAGTAAGTGGGCGACGCCGGATCGACATCTACCGTTGCCAAAGCGTCACTTTTTGTACCTCTCTGGTCGGGTTGGACGCAGCAGACGTACAGAATTTCCTCCCTGGGACCGTTGAGGAACGCGTCCAGTGGCGTGGCATAGCCTGGTCCTATATAGTTCGTTTAAATTAGAAGTTTGAGTTAATTTCGTACAATTTTATGGCAATTCTCTTTGAAAATGATCAATTTACACTTTGTTAGTTCAATAACCTCCTGATGTTTCGTTTTTTGTGCACTTGTTGACCTAATGAGTAGCTTCTACAATCGATTATAAGAATTAAAAAAAAGGTTAAATAGTACTTCTAACCAATTTCCTCGACATGAAAATATACTATTATTGTTCATTGAGACTACACTTCTTTCTTAAATATTATGAAAAAGTGATATAAAAACGATTTAATTCCATCAAGCAAATTAAAAAACTAGATCTTTATCAATACAGGTAGATGACCGATATCTATAGCGCTTTATGACGTCTATTGCGGCTAATAAATCAACGAATATTTCCGAAACGGATATTACTTGGAGCCACTGCAAATAACACTTACCTTTATCCATTACTTTCGAGTCAACGCTGGTTAGGTTAAGTTCAATAGCAAGGTCGCACTTAAACTGTACTCGTCAGGATGCGGTACGACTGCAGCCGTATAAATAGACGTATTTGAACCCCGTTGATTATTGTTTATCTCGGACCGAGCGGTATTCGGTTGATATGTTATATTACTCGGCGATCTTTTCAAATCGACGAGATTTCTGGGCGAGATGAAAGCAACTCGAAACGCTTGGACTACAGGGTGGCCCAAGTGGCAGTTTATCAAAGCGCAACATTGAACCTTTCTATGTAGCTTGCTCCTCATTGTAATTCTTCAGACAAGTGATTTATTCTTGTTAATTCTTATAAGATTACCATATACTGTACCAAAAGTTTAACACATTCAATTTCGTCCATTTCATTGATAGTGTTATCAAGATTTTTTGTTCTCATTCGCTGACATGCTTCAAATTTGCCATTACAATTTGGTACTTCGTAATCACTTCACGCTTTAACGAAAATGACAGATGTATGGTAAAAATAAAACAAGCACTATGAGACCGGTATTTATAGAGGATATTCTGAAAATAAATATGGAACGATGTGTGTTGCTCACTTTTTATTCCGTAACTGCAAAATTAAATTTTGTTAGCTATTAATGTCATATTGTTATTATATTTTATATGTTGTCGGTGGATTTGTACATTTTTGCTACTTTTGCATACACAATTATTTAGTTGTCTTAAAATAAGTGTCGGAAACTATTTACAAACATTTTTTTATTTGACAATTGCTTCAGATACTACGGCGGACGTTGCTCTTAAACCTGAAAAAACTTGTTCGGGTTTAGCTACCTAATATCCAGTAAGATGCTTCTAGAGTTTCTAAAAAAAACATGAATTAATAGCGTTTTTATTGAAAACGGCGTAAAAGTTTGATATAAGAATAATAAAACAAAAGCAGCATTTTGAATATTCAAATTTGCCAATTTGTTAATTGCTATTAATTTGAACAACATCTCTTGCTACCAAAACGTTTCAGCATCTCTCTGTTTTAAGTAATATTCAAAATTGCTCAGAAGCCTCTAATAATAAATCAGAAGACACAAAATAGTAAATAACGTTGTTTAAAGTGACATAACATGGTAAATAAAAAATGAGTTAACCATGACATAGATATATCGGTGCCGCACAGCGGACTAAAAAATTAAAAAAAGATTTAGAACGTATTTTAAAAACACAAATCAACCTACTTGGTTTTCACGCATTCCCATTACAGGTAAGCAGTGCATAATAAATCCTTTAAGTGCATATTTAGTTATTAATTTATTCACGTATTAAAGAAATTAGAATAGAGTAGTGGAGAAAAACAAAATTATCTGAAGATCAGCTTGTTGCATATTATACTTTTTCTATTACGAATCGTCTTTAAGTAAACTTTGCAATAATTCAATGAGTGACTTGACTGCTATAAAATAATCATAGAGAAAAACTAGCGATCGTGGCATAATTTATTGCTTGTGTAGTTGACTTTTATTGCGCGCGAAAATTAATGGGAAAAGTAAGCTCTGTGTGGAAAATTTACTTAAATACTAACTCAAGCAAAAAATAAATCTACCAAAACACATTGTACGTCGCGGTACCAAAGTTCAGGGAAGGAGTACCAGTCACGCTGACTACGGTCGAGAACAAGCCTTCAACCCCCTGCTCACGCCGTTCCCCAGCTGGGAGTTAAATGATGACTCCGACTGCGCGAACCTTCAAAGCGTACAAACCATGGAAATCGGCACCCAGGGTGTCATGTGGGTGCTGGATGGTACCAGGATAAACAACTACAACCGCTGCCCCACCAAACTGATACAACTCGATCTCAACAATGGAGAAATAATAAGCCGCGTTAAGGTCTTCCCAAACGAGGTTTTCCCTAGGGTAGGTGGTTTTCTTAATGACTTGGTGGTGGATGAAACGGGTGGAGGCTTTGCATACATCGCGGATACATCGAAAGTCGATCCGGGATTGATAGTCTACTCCAAAGAAAAGAACGAGGCATGGAAGCTTAGAGATTCTTCCATGTTTTCCGGGAAGACAAACCCGCAGCTGTTCATGAAGGGCTCGGTGGTGGATTCGTCATACCCGATAGATGGGATAGCCCTATCTCCGCCGCGTGGCGACAGGATCTTTTACTACTGCAGCGTTGGCTCTGATGCACTCTATTTCACACCGACCAGCGCGTTGAAAAATCAGCAACTCGCAAACACCGGAGAATGGAGGAAAAATATCACAGAAGTCGGCAGAAAACTTGGACAAAGCGACGGTATTACGATCGATAGCGACGGATACTTGTTCTACACTTTGCCAGTATTCTTCGGGGCGGGCAGATGGAACACGAGCACCCCTTTGTGGACCTCCGAATTGTTCGATTGCGACGAACAGCAGATGGTGTGGACAGACGGATTCGCGTCCGACCAGCGCGGTGATATTTACTTCCTAGGAAAGATTGTTCAACGACGGAAGGGTGTTGTTTAGAGTGTTTAGATACCGCACGGGTACCAAAAGTTATCTGTACAGTGAATAAATCGTTGTGTCCAAGGTTAATAATACAAAATAGTATTAACGAGAAGTTCCGCATAATAAAATAATTTAGTGGATAAGTTTTACAGAAAAAAGCGGAATGGAATTTGCTTGGCCTTATAAATAATAAGGCGCTTGAACTACAATTACTTCTACAGTTTTATTTTTCTTGAATATATTTTTCATCAAGTAGAGGTGCACAGCGCGATGATGGGCATTTCTATGTAGCTTGCTCTTCAGACTTGTTGCTTTCGAAAATCGATGAAATCGAATTTTTCGAAAGTATCCGCGCACATATAAAAATTTTATATCTCGGTAACGGTAGGCCCTATGGGATCGCCGTTGGTACAGAAATGATCACCGTCGAAAAAAAAAATGTTTTTTTTTTTCTGTTTTCCATTCTTCGTTCTCGTCTTTTGATTTTTACTGAATAGCTTTCGAACCGTTGAAGCTACAAAATTGAAATTTACCTCCTATGGCGGAGGTCTTTTATCACCTGTAACAATTGTGAAAAAAAACTTTATCGTTTATGGTGAGCGTTTTCGGTAATCGCTTAACCTTGGGAAATATTTAAAACATTACCACTTATTTCTCCGCGTTAGGATGATAATGCGGATTTATTTTATATCGCGACTACATTCCCGTATATTAACCATAGACGTCCCAACATTTCTCAATAAAAGTCAGTGCCACTAAAAGCTATGGCTGCTCGGCAATTATGGGTGGGCTGGGTGTAATATCACCGCAGACGCAAAATAATCAAAGCTTAGTGTAGTCTTTACTACTTGTTACTTTCGAAAATCGATGAAATCTAATTTTTCGAAAGTATCTACGCTCGTATAAAAATTTTATATCTCGGTAACGGTAGGTCCTAAGGGACAACCATTGGCACAGAAATGATCACCGTCGAAAAATAAAATTTTTTGTCTGTCCGTTGTCCGTTCTCTGTTCTCGTTTGTTTTTTTCTGAATAACTTTGGAACCTTTGGGGCTACAAAATTAAAATTTGCCTCCTCTTGAATCCTCCACAAGCTTATAAGAAATGACCCTGATCCAAAGCCGGTATCCATATTTTTTTCGCGATTTTCGACTGTTTTTTGGTTAGTACTATGAAGCACGATAACTGCCTGAAATGTTGGCACATATATGCCTTTGGCTTTGCCCCGTGCCAGGACCTATGGAAAATAAGGGGTGGCTAGGGGGTAAGTATTCTAAAAAAATTAAAAATCGCGTGTGCAAGTGTCTATAAAAAACCTTATTTTTCAACAACCATTTAAGACACCAAAAAAATTCTTGAAAAATTTTCATGTTTGACAATTTTTCAATAATATACAGAGTACGCCACAAATAAAAAAAAAAGAAAAATGCCCCCCCCCCCCTCGTCCCTATTATTGAAAATTGATTATAACTGAAAGACTATGATTCAGATCTCACTTCCTTTTATATTGCGATATAGCCGCATAGACAGCAAAAACTTTTGCATTTAAGGTTTTTACCTATTATATAGGGTGTTCGCGATATTCCGTGCTAAATGAGAAATGTGTTAATTGTCCTAAATTTGCAGATATCAACTTCAAATTTAGCAGAGAAGTAAAAGTCCGTGTGCGCATGTAAACAGTAGAAATTGAGCGCAATCAAATTTTACCAAGTATTTTTTAAAAATATTTGAATTTTTTTTTTGGTAATTTTAGCTTCTAGAAAAATATGTTTTCCTCCATAATCCTTCATCCGATTGGCAAAATACTTGAATCGGCAGACGCAGAAGATCCAGTGGAATAACATTTATTTCGGACATTTTTTCGATTATATACAGGGTTTTCAAGTTATAGGCAAAAATCTAAAAGATATAGAAAATTGTTCTTTTACAGAGTAAATTATTAGTCGCAAATCAAAAATCGTAAAAAATATGGTTAATTGATTCAAACGGTGTTATAGGGCGCATGAAGAGCTCCAATTTTTGTATTTGCGGTTTTCATCTATCACATACGCTGCTCGGGATATTTGAAAAAATCCATATTGAAATCGCAAAGCGTGTTGCGAGAGAGTTTCAGATTTCGTCAATTATACGGGGAGCGAGCTATTATTTGTGCAAATTTTAATATTTGCCGATGTTTGCTGTAACTTGGAAGTTCGACGAGATGTGAACGACATTTTATACAGGGTGCATGCACAATTAAATTACATCGATTTTGCGAAAGTTCCATAGTGGTCCGCAGGAGCACGATAAAAAAACAGTGCGTCCCTTTACCACACGAAACCGCGAAGGTCTTTCCTTTTATAATAAAAAGCTGCTACGCGCTACGAACTTGCCCCGCCCAGTGACGATTTTTCGAAAGCAATCTTGTTATTTATATACTATATACCTTAAAAATTTCACGGTTTCTTCGTCGTCCGATAATGAAAGATCCCACATTTTTTGTTCTCCTTCGATTAGATGCTTGAAATTCCCAGTTGAAACTTAGTATTGATTACACATTTAGTTACTTCATATTTTAATAAAAATTACAGAAGTATGGTAAAAAAACGGAATCACTTTTTATTATGTCCATTCAAAGTTGAAGAAGTTTCTGGTTCGCCAGAACTCTCAATACAGACTTTTTTCAATAATGCATGTGCTTCTTTTTTAACTACGTCCTCAGACATTTCTAATAATAACTTATTGATTTGCAACATGCGTGAGGAAATTATAGACCATTACCAGCGCCCCAAAGGAGCAAAGTCAGCAAGACAGAGTTTTCACTCAGCGCTCAAGAGAAATCCAGAAGGGGTGTACTAAGGAAAGAAGTAAATAATGCAACAATTTTGATAAACGGCACATTAGATACGAGTTCTACGACCGTTAGTTTTTGGGTAGATTTCACAAAAGCATCACAAAAAATGAGTGATGTAAACGGAATTTGCGTCACGAGTTTATTTCTCACTAGCGGAACAGGTGTTTAATAAATGAGTGACTTAAAAAGTTTACCAAACCTGTTGCATACTATACTTTTTCTAAGACCGTTAGTTTTCGCATTGATTTACATTCGATTGCTCCCAAACTCGTGTGGTAATATCCCGGAAATGTCCGAAGAGGCTCGGATCCGTGGGACAAGAAACTCAAGTGGTAAAGTGACGCTTTCGGCACTCTAGTTCGATGTATAATGAGGTATGTTACAGAAGGGAATAGAAAAAAAATATTTCAAGCTAAACCAAAAATTGTTATTATTATAAAGATCAGACAGTATGATAATATAAATTGTCTACTTTACTAATTTACTAACTCAAGCAAAAGCAATATCAATTTTCCGATAAAGTAACGCATAAATATGCGATACGTTGTTCGCTCACCTTAAACGTTTAAAAATGGCCGTCAATTCACCATGAAAATCATCTACCTAATTACCTGCGCCGCGCTGGTCAGCGGCGCTGAAAAATTCAAAGTCGTACGCCAATGGACTCACCTCAACTACACCTGGAGGTCCCAGGCAGAATACAAGGACGCCCTCAAAACAGGTCGCTACGTACCTCAAAACAATGCACCGGTAGGTATCAAGATTTACGGGAATACCTTGTACGTTTCGGTGCCAAAGTACCGGAAGGGGGTGCCTGTCACGCTGACTACCGTCGAGAACAATCATTTCAACCCTCTGCTCTCTCCGTTCCCCAGTTGGGAGCTGAACGATGATTCCGACTGCGCGAACTTGCAAAGCGTGCAAAGCATGGAAATCGACACCATGGGTATCATGTGGGTTCTAGATGGCGCCCGGATAAACAACTACAACAGATGTCCCACTAAATTGGTACTACTCGATCTAAACAACGGAGGAAAGGTGATCCGAGTTAACGTCTTCCCGAACGAGACTTCTCATCAAGTGGGCGGGTTTCTTAACGACTTGGTGGTGGACGAAACGAGCGGAGGGTTTGCATACATCACGGATGCTTCACCAGTTGATCCCGGACTGATAGTCTACTCCAAAGAAAAAGACGAGGCGTGGAAACTTAGAGATTCTTCCATGTTTTCCAACGAGGCGCAACTGGTCATAAAGGGCTCAGTATTAGATTCGTCATACACAATCAATGGCATAGCTCTATCTCCACCATGCGACGACAGGATGGTATACTATTGCACCATCGGATCTTATACGCTCTATTCCATACCGACAAGCGCGTTGAAAAACCGGCACCTGGCAAACACCGAAGAATGGAGGAAAAGTATTACCTTAGTCGGCAGAAAACTTGGCCAAAGCCAAGGTCTTACGATCGACAGCGATGGAAATTTGTTCTACACGATGTCGACCTTCTACGGGGTGGGCAAATGGAACACCAGCACCCCCTTGTGGACATCGGAATTATTTGATCGCGATGAGCAGCAGATGGTATGGACAGACGGATTCGCGTTCGACCAGCGCGGGTATATTTACCTCATTACGAATTACGTGTATAAATTTATACAACCCAAGGAAAGTTTGTTCAATGACGGGAGGGTATTGTTTAGAGTGTTTAAGTACCACTCACGCACTAAAAGTTACCTATACAGCAAATAAATCGTTTTTTCCTAAAGTTGATTTTGATATTGACATTGTAGGAATGTTTACAAAAAATAAATAAATTTCGTTCAAATATCATAAAACCCAGAGCAAAAATAGTAATAGTAATAAGAGTTTCATATATGTAAAATAATAAATTAACATGCTACTTTTTAATAGTTAATTAGACTATAAGTTATGGAATAACAGTAAATTGGTAAGCAACAGTAAAGAAAAAAGAAATATGAGCAGATACAGCGATATTACAGTTTGTTTAAAATTATAGTTCGAAAGTTGCAGAAACCATTTTGAAAAATGTCCACTTCACGCAGTTCACTATTTATTAAGTTACACATTCTGTCCTGTCCTAGATTAGTGTAAGCTCTAGCAAGTTCAAAAGTGATATTATTCCTTGTTAAATATGTAGGCACAATGAATCTTAAATAACTAATTAGAAAAAAATAATCTATTCTGCCCCAAACCAGTTTATACAAAAATATTGCTTCAGCAATTTTCCTTCTTTTTTCAAGTGTGCAAACACCAAACTCGCCAGTCAAAACGATATAGGGTACATCAAAATAATAAATATCATACTTCTTATAATACCTCAAAAATTTCTTCTGAATCTTTTCTAATACAAAATAGTACTGACTCCAGACAACCGAAGAATATTCGATAATACTCCTAACATATGCATTATACAATAGATTCAGCGTTTCCTTAATCTGAAAACCGGAAGAATTTCGAACCACAAAGCCTCACATTTTTTTGTTATGCTGTCTATATGTTTATAAAATTCTAATCGGAAATCAAAAATCAAGATCCTTCATTTCTGTTTTTTGTTCTATTATAATTTCTTTCATTCTATATTGATACTTGATAGGACTTGATCTTTTGCTAAATGTCATGGAACAACATTTGCTGATATTAAAACTCAACTTATTTGTTTCTGACAATTTGATTACTTCATTTAAGTCCTTTTGCAGCAATTCACAGTCTTGTCTACATCTAATTTTTCGAAATAATTTATAATCATCTGCAAAAAGAAGATTAAGTGAATTTGCTGCAGATTGTGGCATGCCATTGATCAAAATGTCAAAGAAGAGTGGTCCAAGGTTCGAACCCTGCGGTACCCCCGAGCAAAGGGCTCCGAAGAGGCACCCCTGTAAATCACATATCGTTTCCGGGAGCTTAAATATGAACTTGAGAGACTCAGAGTTCCCCCGAGAGACCAAACGCTGACAGCTTCCGCAGAAGAACATCATGGCACAAACGGTCAAATACTTTAGCGAAATCAGTGTATACTACATCACCCTGGATATTCGCGGCTAGAGCAGCGTTAACGTATTGAGTAAAACACGCTAAATTTGTCACAGTGGATCTTTTCGTCGTGAAGCCATGCTGCTCTTCCGCAAGTATCGGTCTGACATGAGCATACATTTTCTTATGAAAGCTCGTTTCAAATATTTTACTTGGCGCGCATATCAAAGCGATAGGGCGGAACTATTTTATATTATTATGCTTGGTACTCTTTGCTATTGGACAGATTTTGGAAATTTTCGAGATATCCGGATATGTTTGAGTTTTGTCTGACCAGAAGCTCCCTGCAGGCTTTAAAAATATAGGGCGTAATATACATGATTTTTTAGGCTTTAGCTTAGCAATAGCCTCCAGTATGTCATTTTTTGCAATTGCATTTATGGTTAGTGTCGTATTTGTGTACAGTAAGTCGTCCTTTGCAAGATTGTTTGTAGCCGGCTTTTCTGAATACACACTTTTAAAGGCTTGGGCTATCTTACTGTTGCCACTAATTTCTCTCTCTCCTCAGAGAACATGCAGACCGAAGCAACATCGGAGTCCCCTTTGTGTTGTGCACAAGTTTGCAGAAACTTCCTACATCAGAGTGTAGGTTATTTTCAGCACACATTTTTTTTTCTTAAATTAGTAAATATCTGTATATCAAAATCAATGTTGAATTTTTTAATATTATCGTGATAAAAGGCTGTACGTTTTAAATCCTCTATAATATTTTTGTTGAGCCACAGTGGATAGCGTTTTTTAGTATATTTGGCAAGTGGGACACTCTCTGATAAAATTCTTAGAAATATCTGGTAAAAATGAGCAATAGCTTCATTAATTTCTTTGTAACGCATTCAGCTCTTCCCACGTTGTAACTTTCAACAAGTTATACAGCTTTTCAAAATCTGCTTTTTGGTAATTAAATTCGGTAAGAAAACCTTCAGTTTCGCCATCAAATTGAGTAAAAACTGGTCCGCTACTTCTCCCAGGAGAGGAAAATCGCTACGACTGACAGTTAACTTATGACTACTCAGAACCAAATCCAATACTCTGTCTCTACCGTTTAATACCGTATTATAATTTCGCATGTCGTAGCAATTTATTAACTCTAGGTACTTTGTTTCAATATTGGTTAAATTTTCTAAATTACTTAAGTTGCACAGAAAGTTCTTTAGAATTTATTCTCCGATTTACTGCAACAACAACCCCTCCCCCAGTTTTTTTATTTGTGTACATAAGGTCCCTATCTCTCTTATAAACGGTACATTTATTGTCAAAACACTCAAAATCAAACACTGATGGGTTACGCCACGTTTCGGTTAGTACCATTATGTCAAAATCCTGTTGTGAAAGTGCAATTTTAATTTAGAAGACATCCCTTGAACATTTTGATAGTAACAGGTAAAAACAAAAGACTTACGTTTAGTGAATGTCATTGAAATTGCTTGTTGAGTCTATTTTAAACGCCTTCACACTTCTCTTTGTGTTTTCTTTTTCGAAAGAAACGCATTTCGTTCCCCACACGGAATTTTTTTCAAGGCAATCCGTGATTTTTTTATCCTGAGCCGAAATTATTGCATTTGTCTCCTCGACTTTGATATAGCAATTTTCTATAGAATGCTTCATGTCATTGTTAAGAACTTTAATAGTCCTGATTTCGCTGAGGATTTCCTTATTTGGAATGGCTGATGAGCCGTCCGATTTTTGTCCTCGGCAGCTACACAGGATACGCCCACCCATATATTGCTCATATTGAACTGGTCCAATGTAAACAGATACAGAAAAAAACAAAACAATCTCGGACACTTTTTCCGAACTTATTATCGGTTTTAACGGAGCAAATAAAACAGCGTGTACTCTGACCTTCACGGCTCTCTACTTTCGTGTCAAGTGTTGTAGGATATACTATATACTGATAAGAGACACCATTAGAAGTCAATTTTTCAAAAAAACTTCCACAGGCTTCTGTAATACTATTCGCAAATCTTCTGCGTCGGTTGTTGATAAATGAAATTCGCTAACGTTTCGATAACCATCCTGTTGGCTTCTTTAGAGCTGCACTAATTTTTCATTTAATGAGATACCTGAAATTTTCCATTCCAGGTCAGCATTTGGTAGTAATTATCCTTTTAATACTTTTAACACTTAACTGAAAATAACAAGCGCATGGTAAAAAATAAATAAAGAACGGAATACTAAATACTAAAGTTGGTAATTTTGTATTCCGTAATTGCAAAATAAAATTTTGCCTAACATCACGTAACAGAATGCTATTAAAATTTCTCCCACTTTGATATATGAGGTCCTACTTTTCTACGATTTCCGAAATGAACATTAATTAATTAAAAACTTAAATTCGTAGAACTTTTATCATCGTCTATTGTTGAAGTAGTTATCTTGGTTGAGATTTCAATGCACACATTTTTCAATAATGTGTCTTTTATTTTCAAACCTTGCTCCTCGGATATCTCTAATAATAAATCATTGATTCGTGACAAAATCGAAAAACAGTGGAACGATAATCAACCTTAGTGACACATGTTTTAAGTAATGTTAATAGGTAAACAAAAAATGAAATGTCCATGAAATTGATGCATCGCTGTGTCACTTTCAAGCTGGCTAAAAATTAAAAAACTTAAAACACTTAGAACATGCTTTAAAACACAAATCATTTTACTCTGCGTGTGGATGTTAAAAATATATAATTAAAAATAGTAATAATAATTATAAATTAAAAATATATAATGAATCAGTTAAGTGGGTATTTCATGATTTATGCACGGATCAAAACGATTTAAAAACCATATTGAAGAAATTAAGGAACCTATGGAAAATACATTTAATTTAAATGTAATAACTCTAAGGATAGAGAATTAAGTCATTCCTAAAGCAATTAAACCTATCTTCCCACTGCTATTACCACCGGCAGGTATTTAAGGTGCCTACGTAGCAGTTTGAGCTAGCTCTCTGAAGGAGTCAGTAGCATGTTTGGCGAAATCTAGAAGAGGTGTGCCTACAAACTCGCACCAAAGTAGCACCAATTTTACTAAGTGGCATTTTAGTCACGAATTTGATTTGGCACGACCGAAGCCACAACGTATAATAAACGAGTACATACTTTTCTCTTTCGACAACCATGGGCTCTTGAAACCTAAAAGCTATAATAATTATAAGCTTTCTTGACTTTACTTGTATTTAGTTAATTTAATTTAATATATATTGCTTACGTACTTGACCTGTATTGCGAACGAATGTTAATTGGGAACGTAACCCTTGTGCGGAAAATTTACTGAAAAAAATGGCACGATAACGGCACAATGGCAACATACGCTATCTACTTACTTACTAACTGAAGCAAAGTCATACCAATTTTCTGATAAGACAGCGCATAAATGTACGACACGCTCTTCGCCCACCGTCATTACACCATGAAAATCATCTACTTAATCACCTACGTAGCGCTGGCGAACGGCGTTGAAAAATTTGAAGTCTTCCGTCAATGGACTCTCCTCAACTACACGTGGAGGTCCCAGGCGGAATACAAAGACGCTCTCAAAACTCGTCGATATGTACCTCAAAATAACGCACCGGCAGGGATCAAGATCTACCGAAACATATTGTACGCCTCGGTGCCGAAGTTCAGGGAAGGCGTACCCGTTACTCTGACTACGGTTGAAAACAAGCCCTTCAATCCTCTGCTCACGCCTTTCCCCAGTTGGGAGCTGAACGATGACTCCGACTGCGGTAACTTGCAAAACGTGCAGAGCATGGAAATCGACACCAAGGGTACCATGTGGGTTTTGGATGGTGCCCGGATAAACAACTACACCAGGTGCCCCACTAAATTGGTACTACTCGATCTAAACAACGTAGGAAAAGTGATCCGAGTTAAGGTCTTTCCGAACGAGGTTTCTCTTAAAGTGGGGGGGTTTCTTAACGACCTGGTGGTGGACGAAACGAGCGGGGGCTTTGCGTACATCACGGATGCTTCACCAGTCGATCCCGGACTGATAGTCTACTCCAAAGAGAAGAATGAAGCTTGGAAGCTTAGAGATTCTTCCATGTTTTCCGGGAAAACGGATCCGCAGCTGTTCATAAAGGGCTCGGTGGTGGATTCGTCATACCCGATAGATGGGATAGCCCTATCTCCCCCGCGCGATGACAGGATCGTATACTACTGCAGCGTCGGCTCTGATGTGCTCTATTCCATACCGACTAGCGTGTTGAAAAACCAGCAACTCGCAAACACCGGAGAATGGAGGAAAAATATCACAGCGGTGGGCAGAAAACTTGGCCAAAGCGACGGTATTACGATCGACAGCGACGGAGACTTGTTTTACACGTTGCCAACATTCTACGGGGTCGGTAAATGGAACACCAGCACTCCGTTGTGGACGTCGGAATTGTTTGATCGTGACGAGCAGCAGATGGTATGGACAGACGGATTCGCGTTCGACCAGCGCGGTTATATTTACCTCATTACGAATTACATGTACAAGTTTATACAACCCAAGGAAACTTTGTTCCATGACGGGAGGGTATTGTTTAGAGTTTTCAGGTACCATACCGGTACAAAAAGTTACTTGTACGACAAATAAATAGTTGTGACCGAATGGTATTTTTGGTATTGAAACGTGTAGGTCCCCGGCAATTTTCTAACCGGCAATCAAACGATCGATACGCGCCGATAGCTGTAATTACGAGAGCAACGATTGTCGCTCCCCATGTCCTGAAAATTATATACATTTCCCCCTCATTTTTACACAACACCGGCTATATATGTGCCCAGCTCGATATCTCTCTCGAGGCACACCGTTGCATCACTAAAATGCGAACGAGTCTTGAACAAGATCCCCCGAAATGGAGAGACGCCTACGTGGTGCCGAAAACAATGCTCCAGGTGTGCGGTATTTGGCCGACGCGTCATACCTCCAACCTTACGACAATGTTTCGGATCCTGTTCTTCGCCGTCTCGCTAGTATTCGACATGACGATCCTCGTAGAACTCAAAATCCTCATCACCTCGAAGGATTACGAGGCCTTGTCCACTCACCTGTCCACGCTGGGATTGTACATCGGCTACACCATAGCTATAATGATATTTAAAGGGCAAGAGAGAAAATTTACCCAACTACTCGACACCTTGGAGGCTCCCATATTTGATGATTTTCCCTCGAACCTTGTAACGTTCAAAACCGAGTGTATTTCCCTTTCCAATGGCATTTCCACGTTCTACATATCGTGCGTCGCGGCCAGCATCACCCTCTACCTGAACAGACCCCTGTATACGGAGTTTTCCTTGCCCATAAGCTTCTCGTTCGATATCAGCGCTTTAGAGTTCTATATGTTGCTGGCTCTTCAAATCTTCTCTGTCTTTTATCTCGTGATGACAGGCATATGCTTCAATATGCTCAACATAAGCTTGATCAACGTTGCCTCGGCACAACTCGACATACTAGGCGAGACCGTCAGCAGTTTCTTGTTCAAAAGGCACCCAAACTTTGAGGAAATGGAGAAAGTGCATTTGATCAAGTGCGCCAAGAAACACGTCGCTGTTATTCGGTAAGAAGGAAAATGCCTCCTAAACTACACGTTACTTAAACTGATTATTTAACCTGTATAGATTTGTAGATCAAATTGAGGAAGTTTTTACGTACATTTGCATGACGAGGTGTTTGAGCAGCATCGTCTCCATATGCAACGGCGTTTTTCAACTAACGCACACTGTTAGTCTTCAGTATTATCAAGAAACGATCACACTATATCGCCTCAATTTCAGGGAAACCTGTACAGCGTCGCGTTCTTGTTCAACATCGCGTTCGTCTTCGACGTCCTCTTCGAGATCGGCATTTACTGTTGGTTCGCAGGCCTGTTGACGATAAAGGTGAGGTCGGGTCCTTGAAATTACGTATAGAAAATTTCGTTTTAGAGTTTGGCGGTGGCGGATGCTTGCTACAACTACAACTGGCTACTTTCCTCCGAAAACAACAAGAAATTGCTGCTCATCGTGCTCACAAGGAGCCAGAAGCCGCTGTTCACCACGGCCGGCAAGTTTGCCAGACTTAGCATGGCGTCGTTTTTGTCGGTACGTTTTCAAATATTGCTGATTGTGATTTGTACCGGTCGTTTTGAAGGTTTTGAAGACGGCTTACTCCTACTTTGCGCTGATGCAGAGTCTGTACGAGAGAAACGAATTCGAGGAGTGCCTGTAAATCATCTCTGGCTTGTCATATGTATTGCGTCTTAACGTTCTAATTCACTCTACGCGTTGGAATAGACATTAGAAAAATAAATTATATGAGATACATTTTAATAATTAATATCGCGCCAATCGAACGTTGATTACAGAGGCTCGGGACAAAGGAGACAAGGAGAATGGGGTTTTAGACATAATTTAGATAATAAGATCTGTCATTTTAAGGGGGATATATTTATTCACTTAGTAATTTCCGAGTCGCAATTAAAGGGTTACATTACGGACACAAAAAATCTCTTCCCGCAGGCGATATTATTTAGATCGCACGATATTCCTGTGCAAGTCCCAGTACAAGTGGCATGTATCCGACCAAGAACCCTGTAAGTAGACGATTAGGCCGCACCTACTACTGGCACGTTGCTCGCGCCTTTTCCAGCCCCAGAAATGGGAACAAGCCTACTCTGTTCCGGCGAGGTTTCTAAAACTAGCCGGCGTTTGGCATCAAGACTCTTGGCCGGCCGCGAAACGAATCCAACACATTCTATTTTTCATCTTGTGCGTACTATTCGACGTCGCGATCTACATGGAACTGGCAAATTTGGTAACCTCCAACGATTACGAAATGTTGTCGGAGCATCTATCTCCCGTAGGGTTTTACACTAGCTATACTATAGCTATAGTGGTGTTTAAAGCTAACGGTAAGAAATTCAAGAAAATGACGTCTAGTTTGGAGTCGTCAGTTTTCAACGACCTTGCTTCAAGTTCGCTGAAGATCAAGGAACGCTGTATTTTCGAATCGAACAGGCTGTCGACCTTTTTCCTATCTACGGTGGGCTGTTCTCTAGTGATCTACCTGGCCCGACCTTTGTACAGCAATTATTCACTTCCTATAAGCTTTTCTTACAGCGTAAATGGTATCAAGTACTTCCTGGTGTACTCCCTCCAGATCGTCTCGGTAATCTATCTGATTATAACGGGTATTAGTCTGGTTATGCTGAACATAAGCCTGTTGAACATCGCGTCGGCGCTGATCGATGTCCTAAACCAATCAGTCGCGGGTCTCGGACAGCTAAGTGGAGTGGGAGTTTTGGTGCAACGTCATTCGGTCATAATTAGGTAGGTCCTAAAAATATGGGAGCAGATTAATCCAGCTTAAATTTTAGATTCGTGCAGGAAATCGACGAGGTATTCACGTACATCTCACTGACTCGATGTCTGACCAGCATCATTTCCATCTGCAACGGGTTGTTTCAACTGACACACACGGTGAGTTTGTTTTCTTCCAGTCGCTTTAACGACCCGTCAATTCTAGAGGAAAATTCCAAGCGTGACGTTTGTATTCAATGTGGTTTACGTCTTCAACGTCCTCTTTGAGATCGGTATCTACTGTTGGTTCGCGACCGCGCTGACCGAGAAGAGCTTGACCCTCACCGACGCATGTTATAACTACGACTGGCCCGAAGAGTCACTTTCTAACCAACGATCATTGCTGATGATCACCGCGAGGAGTCAGAAGCCTTTTTACGTCACCGCCGGGAAGTTCGCCAGGCTCGGCGTTGGTTCGTTTCTCTCGGTAAGGGTTTGAAATGCAATATTTGACTCACTTTTCGCCATTTAATATAATAATAATAATAATAAATTTTACCCTTGACATAATCATCTACAGTTTACAGACTCAGTCTCATGTGTAACCACATCACACACAAATTGCCTTTACTGACGTATAACATTTGTTTTTTTAAACACACTTTATGTGATAACGTTGTTTCCTTTCCAGCTCGTCAAAATGGCGTACTCATACTTCGCACTGATGCAAAGCTTGTATGAGAAGACCGAAGATTTACGGACATTATGAAAGTATACCAAGCGTATCCCTGACCTTATTTTTAACGCGCCGCAAATTAACTCGATATCGATTTATTTTTTGTCCACCCATTCACTTGTTCACGATACTTTCGCCATCTCGGCGGGACGAGGAGGGGAACAGTCTCAGTGTCTGCCATGCGAGTCGCAACTCGTTTATTTTTATCCGTCGCCATATTAAGCGCGTGTTTCGCCACCAAACGCTGCCCCCGCGCTGAAAAATTCAACGTGATCCTCCAATGGACGCACCTAAACTACACCTGGAGATCTCCCGAAGAGTACGAAATGGCCGTCAGCACCGGGAGGTACGTTCCTTTGAACAACGCTCCTACCGGAATCAAGATTTACAAGAACACCTTGTTCATCTCGGTTCCGAGGTTCCGACCTGGTGTACCGGCCACCCTGGCTTCGGTGGAGGCCAAATCCCTCAATCCCTTGCTTGTACCATTTCCCAGCTGGGAGATGAGCGATGAGTCCAAGTGCACCAACCTTCAGAGCGTCCAAAGCATGGAGATCGATTCCAAAGGGACTATGTGGGTATTGGACGGAGCCAGGATCAACGGCTACTCCAAATGCCCCGCCAAGCTTCTACTTTTCGACCTCACAGATGGAGCCGGTCTCTTAAGGACATATACTTTCTCCAACGAAATATCGCTCCAAGACGGTGGATTCTTGAACGATTTGGTGATCGATGAAACCGATGGTGAATTTGCTTACGCTACAGATAATTCGCAAATCGATCCTGGCCTGATAGTATACTCGAGGTCGAGGAACAAAGCGTGGAAACTTAGAGACGCCTCGATGTATCCTCAAGAGGGTGCTAGTAGATTCGAGGTTAATGGGAAAATTTTGGACAGTTTCCTTCCCTTGGATGGTATCGCGCTGTCTCCAAAATCGGAAAGAGGCTCGAGAAGGGTGTACTACTGCGCTATGGGGGCGTTAAACTTGTACTCCATCCCCACCAAGGTGCTGAAAGATTCTAAATTGATCGAATCTGGAAACTGGAGACGCCACATCGTCAAAGTGGGCCAGAAATTGGCTCAAAGCGACGGGCTGGTGATCGACAACGAAGGAAGCATGTTCTACACGCTTTTGCCATACAACGGGGTTGCCAGATGGAGCACCAACTCTTCCTTATGGAGTTCTGAGATAATCGACCAAAACAAAGAGACTATGGTGTGGCCCGATGGGTTTGCCTTTGACGAGAGCGGATATATTTATTTAATTACTAATTATATTTATAACTTTATCGACCCCTTGGCAGAGGTGGAGAAAGACGGTCGGATTCTGTTTAGAGTGCACAGATACCGCACAGGAACCAAAAGTTATTTATTTACTTAGTTTGGAATAGCATTGTTATGTTGAATGTAGACACCTCTAGCTAGTAAAATAAATATTGCTTGTCATGATATTTTTTTTTGACGTTCACCCTTTCCGAAGAACTTTTCCATATAATTATAAACGAATAAAGTTTTGAAGTACGTCACTTCGTTGAGATAGAATAACAGAAACTCAGCAGAGATTTTATTCCGCTACGCATGAAGGTAAAATTTGACACAGCGTGCCTCTGTCACTGATTAAAAAAATTGTTTTAGTTCAAACAAAATTTCACAGTGTCGGAGAGAAATTTAATTCAGAAAGTGGAACGGGAAATCAATAAAAAGGATCTGGAATTACGGGCCGGCAAAAAAATACCCAGCAATCCCCTGATTCAGAAAAATCTGACGTTTTTGCAAGGCTACGATCAAATTTTCGGGACGCCTCAGTATTTCGGGCACTCTGGCGCCAGATTTAGAGGATCCCTAAGGAACCACAAGTCTTTCGATTTGGTTCGCGATTTAAGACTGGATCAAGCGGAATTTATTAAATCTCAGGTACTCCAATGACACTACAATGAGAACAAGTCAGTATGCGGGCCTTTTAGGTCAAACAAAGATCGAAGTTAACCAAACATCACCGTCTCAACGAAGCAACCACCAACAGATCATCAGCTGGATATCTATTTGAAACAGACGCTGTAGGAGATCACCAGAGTGAATCTGAAAACAAAGAATCGACGCAAACTTCAAAAATGGCGGAAGAATCGGAAGACGTTGAGCAAGATCTTGCCGTCGCAGAAGAAAAAGGGGAAGAGGAAAGATTTGAAACAGAACCGGAAAAAATGGATGATGATTTCTTAGATCAAGAAGAGGAATTTGACGATATACCCGAAGAGGATGAAGAAGTAGGGTTGCTCGGAAAATTATTGCTTAAAATGTTTACCGTCTTCTTTTTAGGAAGATGATGACTTGCAAGAGGTGGAGAAAATGATCCAAGAAGCGTCCGACCAATTGGAGAAAGTGGCCGAGGAAGGTCAAAAAGTGATAGAAAAGCTTGTAATGGGCGTTTTTAATGAAATGATCGAAAATCTAGTTTTTCTCTATTTTAGGCAGGGGAGGAAGAGCAATTAGAACTGGTAACAGAGACGTTAGTTGAGAAACCCGAAGGAGACGAGTCCGTGTTCAAGTTCGATGCTGCTACAGATGCGGCGGTTCTGAGAGAGCTCGAGGAGGCGGAAAAGCAGGCCAAGGTAACTGCCAAGGTGATTGCGGATCTCAAAGAGAGAGTTGGGGAGCTTTTGGAGAAGGAAGAGATGACCGAAACGGAGGCCAGAGAGTTGGAGGCTAAAAACATGGAGCTGAAGAAGCAAATGATGCTTTTCGAGGAGAAAACTAAGAGGATGCAGGCGTTGCTGACTCAAACGAATCTATTCGACAAAATGGTGCCCATCAAGCCTCCTTTACAGGTAAAACATGCAGAAGACGTGTTGCCGAAGATGCTGGTATGTGGTTACGGCGAAGACCTGATGCCGAAGATCGTGGTCTGTGACGATAAAAAACGAAGCAAGTCCAAAAGCCCATGCACCGCTAGGAGTGTGGTATCTTTATGCCAGAATTTCCATTGTTGATGATGAAAACCTCATTTCATTTTAGAGTCCCATAGGCAGACAAATGATTGATAGTTACCACATGCTGGAAGACAAGCCAAAGTATATCTGACGTGACAGTGACAGCACGCGTACTAAATTCTCCGTGATTTTTTTCAGATTCGATCGAAAGAATGTATTAAACAGAGATGAAACTCTAGGATGTCTTCAAAGACAGGTTTGTGTTTTGCGAACCGAAATGGCAGCCGTACACCAGGTCAATGCTGCGTTTACTGAAAATCTTCAGGTAAATCTATAGACAAGGTTTCATTTTAATTTATCTCTAAGCGATTTTAGATGTGCCCCAATCCAGAGTGCCCGAAGAATTCACGGCCCGGTTCGCCCGCAAAAAAGTCCTGCGGGCCTGGCCGAGGCGTTTGTCCAGCAGAAGTCCAAAATAGGCTTAAAGAGTATTCACACACCACCACCCAGCTGGAGAAACAACTAGGCGACATAGAAATAGAAGTGAAGGGCATCCAGGAGGAACTTTTAGAAGTCCAAAAGGAAAGAGAGCATTTGGAGCACCACAGGAAAAAGATGTGCGTGCCACCATCCTGTCGCCACATACCTTGTATGCCTGCCACGCCCAGACTAACGTGCGGTGGCGAGGATCAGAAATACAAGGAGTTGAAAGAACAGTACAACAGACTTCAGGAAGATTTCAGAGCAAAGCTCACAGAGGTCGCAGGATTGAGGGCCGACAATGAAAAACTTAAAGACCAAACAAAAGCCGCCGAAGACGCAAGGAAAGCGCTGGAGGACAAGGTCAAGGAACTGGAAAAGAGGCTTAAAGAACTCAGGGGTGATTTGGGAGTGAAGGTTGGACATGCACCCAACGGATTCCAAGTTTAATGGACGGGTTTTAGGGATCTGGAACCCGAGAGCAAATAGTGGAACTTGAACAGCAGCTCAAGGTGTTCAAAGAGATGTACAGGCAAGCACAGGATGAGCTAGAGGAGCTGAGAGCGCTAGCCGAAGACGTTCAAGGTCAGCTGGGTAGCTACCGCAACAAGGTGAGGCCGCGGGCACCGGTGCACCATTTCGCTTAGGTAGGGGTCTTTCGTAGTATTTAGAGGCAATCCAGACGGTAGAAGAGCAACGGCGCCAAATCGATATCATGCGCCTGGAGAACGACAGAGTTAGCGAGCAGGTCAATTTGGAAATCCAACGGGTGAAGAATCAGTTTCAGGAAAAGCTGCAGGAGTTGGCGCCGCTGCCCGATATTCTCAAAAGCACGCAAACCAAGTTGCAGGAGGCCCAACAGCTTCACCTACTGGCTGAGCGTAACAACGAAGCTTTGAGCAAAGAGCTGCAGCTGTATAAGGATAAGCTGCAGGCTCTCAACGACGAGATGGACACGAGAGTCGGCGACGGAAGCGAAGCTCTCAGCCAAAAAGAGCAAATGGCTTTGAAGTTTAAAGAGTTGGTGGAGAGAGAGCGGGGACTTAGGGATGAAAACGAGAACTTGATCTCCGAAAAAGAACGGTTGAAGGAGGTGGCGGATGAAAATGAAAGGGTCGCCAATGAGAAACTGCACGAGATCGCGCAGCTGGAGAGCCAGTTGGAGAACGTGAGGGAGGAGTCGGCCAGGCAGGTGTCGAGGATCAAGGATCGGTGCGAGATCGTAAGGAGGAGCATGCAGAACCAGATATCGGACCTGGAGCAGCAACTGGCGCAGACCAAGGCGTGTGTGAGGGTGAGTATTGGAAATGTGGGGATTACTTCGTTGATATGATTGATTTTAGGCTGCGGAGAAGGACAGGGACGAGGTGAGACGAAAGATGCACGTCCAGATCGTCAATTTGGGCCAGAACTTCGAGGACGCGCAGATGCGGATCAGGAATTTGCAGGGACACGTGAATTTCCTGAAGAACGCGTACTGTTCGCCGGGAGATGCCACCAGGACGGCGGATCCTGATCCGTGTGGCTGTCCGGCGGAATACTAAGGGACGCGAGGCAAATAAAATTACATTTTGGTTTTAAACGCCTTTTATTATAAACATCGGATGTCGAGATTAGGTACAACTTTTTATGTTACAAAAGTGAAAAATTAGCCTATAGGTATGCACAACGGTATTTACAGGGTGATTGCACGCGATCCCTTAGCACGTCAAAGCTGACTTGAGCCACTGGAAATAAAAATCGTGAAACCTTAGCTTGTCAAATTCGAAGGTTGCTTACCTCTGATAAGTTTAGTTTGATGCTGCCGTTTTGCAGAGGATCTTTGATTTCGAAAATGTCTAGAAAAGACTTGGTGTTAAGAGTTCATCAACATTTCAAAAACGATATAAATAACAAAAATAATGAAAAGATAACTTGTCAAAAACATTTTCCAGGTTGCCAAACGTCGAAAACATGGTTTAATACGATAAAATTTATAGAGCAATGTTTTTAACATGTTCAAAGGTATTTTTCGATTTTTGCGAAAAAAGTTTAGACGCACGTAGAAATAATGAGCGAAGAAACAAAGCTGTTTTTATTTTGGATTTATTTGTCGAGACTTTCTAAATTTGGCATAATTATTTGTGATAAGGAAATAAATCGATTATAATCATTTTGTTGTTATTGTAAACAAAATTAAGTTACACAACGCGCTATTTAATGAAGTAATTTAGTTAATCTAATTTATGAGGTACGAGAAAAACAAACCATCTTGTAAATAACTAACAAAATGCAGACGTTGAAAATAATACTAGCTCAAATACTTTCTGCACATAATAATAAAATTACAAGGACTTTACATAAATAAGAAGTTAGAAATACACACAACTAACCAAAACTAACCCAACCAAAAAAAAATTGTTTAAAATAATGTGCTGACCATTAATTGCAGTAAGAACTTTTTAATTTTTATTAAAAAAATGCCTTTTAACAAACAATTTTGTTATAAGCAATTCTTAGTTTAATAGTCGACACAAAAATGCTAACCAAAAACCAAAATAAAAGCTCGATGAAATTTCAATGAGCAAAATTATTTTTTAAAACTTTTAATGCCATGTTTTGAATTTTTTCCAAACAAAAAAATAAAAAAACTATTATTAAATAGATTAACGAAACTAAATTAAATAAACTAATTTAATAAAAATTTTGTCTTTTAATAATTCAATAAAAATTATTTAAATGAAGTTTCCAAGAGAAAATATTAGCTTACAAAAAAATCGAAAAATTGGCTAGTCAACCCAAATATTCATATACTCACTAAACGCGACGGTCAAATGCAAGATGGACGACACAAAATCGCCGAACCGCAGCGTGCCATCTTTCCGCATGTACCTCAGGATAAGCGTAATGAGCACGTCGCTGCTGAGCTGAAAGCCCACCTCCAATAGAGCGTCCCTCAACCTTTCCGCTTTGAGGATGCCGGTCCTCTCTTTCGTATGGTTCTTGAACGCCATTTGCCAAAACTTGAGGCTGCACATCAGGTCTTTGAAGTCGGCGAACTTCAGCCGTCCCGAGCTAGAGTTCTGGAATCGCGAGGAACACGTGGAACCGACCAAAAGTCGATACGAGACGGCTTACCTCGAATGTGAAGACTATCTGTCTGCAGACTTCGATGGAGGCGCAGCTTTTGATGTAGTCGTTTGGTAAACACGCGTCCAATAACTCCTGGAGTTCGAACGCGTTGACGGTCCGATGTTCGTCGGCCAGTTGAAGAAAAACCGCTTCATATTGACTAAAACTTTTGCCGTCCAGCAGCGGGGGTGCCTTCACTATCGCTGACTTCACCAAACAGGGAACCGTGTCTACCAGTTTGAGCTTCAGAGGTTTGCTGGAGTACACCCTCAGAGTGAACCCCGACTCTTGCCCCGGCTCGAATGTTGTAGGTATAATAAGGTACCCCCCTTGCTCCAACTGACACCTAAAGAGAGGAATAAGCAATGAGTATTGTTCAATTGAATGATTGGAGTACCTCACCTGTGGCTGACTTGGCGACTGTTGGTGTACTGTGAATTGAAAAGGGACTTGTTCTTCTTAAAAAATCCTTTGCCTATGGTGTCGGTCGTGCTCTTGGGTAGCGAATAGGCGGTAAAACCTATAACCTTCGGCTCCATAATGCTGTGCTGGTTGAGCGACACCACGACTTCTTCCATCTCGCTCAGCAGCAGGTGCAGCTGAGGATTGATGTGGAACGTATCGGGGTTGTTCCGACACCCGCCTGCAGTCACCCCCTTCTGCCAATTGCCTTGGTACAGGCGCATCTGCCAGGTGTTTTTGTTGTGTAGACTAGGTTCGTCCCGGCTAGTATCACTGTCCAGGTGCACGATCTCTAAGTGGGTGAAGGTCTTGACGAATTCGGAGTAGGGTATCCAGAACTCTTCGTCGGACGTTTTCGACTGGATCCGTTCGAGTTCTTGGGGCGGGAGCTCCGCCCAATCGGGCGAGTCCAACGCCCACGGACCCACGTAATCCGTTGCCAAGCCCAGCGGGTTTCTCAGCTTTATGAGCTGCACGGAAACATTATTGAATGTCTCCGCGCGTTCTATAGAGTAGATCCTGTAATTGACTCCGGTCTGTATGCCGTTGACCAACTTTTCGGTGTGAGATCTGACTTGGTTCGGCGGCTGCACGGCACACGTTATGATCGAGGTCATGTCAAGCAGTTTGTGCAGCAATCTGGCACATGACGTCGCGTCTTGCCTGATCTGTATGCTCTCGGTTATGCCGCCGGTCAAGTCAGCCAAACCGTCGAGAAGGGAACCGTATTTGAGGGCTTCATATGAACCGTGTAACCTAAAAGGAGGAGGTACTGTCAGGCGTGAAGTTTTTGTCCGTCTTGGCCAACCCAGAACCCAGGTGTGGTTTTCTTGGACCTTTGTACGTAATACAATTGGTCTCCCCACGAAGGAAGGGGGACGGGAAGCGGAAGTTATTCATTCATGATACTTAGACGTGCATCTTCTACTCAGGTTTAGTTCGGTCAACAGTTTGGTGACTTTGTGGAGTGTTTAGGTGTATCAATAATTTGTATTTCACGGGAAGAACAAAAGGAAGCTTTGACCTTTAAGATAAAGCTCGTAGGAGCGGATTTGGACTCTTAAGATTAAGAATAAAATAAACCTTTCCTGACTCAGCAATTCCAAGTTTGGGTGTTCGAAGGAAAAGTCCAACACGTAAACATTTTACTGCTTTTTCATCTAATTGGTATGAAAAACTGGTATCGACCTCCATTTTGAACAGCGGAAACCGTAATCCGGCATTGTTTTCGTGTGACTTTAACAACGGTGAGCCGCCATGAATATACGGAGTGTTATTTAATATGTGTCCGATATTTAACATTATGACTTCTCAACTATTTTAAAAATTACTAAAGTGTCTGTTCACGTTCTTATCTAGCCAACTCTAAAATATTTATATGGTTATGAACTTTTTAGAATATACTCACATACAATTCAATACAAAAAATATTAATAAATAATAATATAAATTTTATTATAACACTGATATTGTGGTTACATCTTTATACCTGCATGTACCTACTGGTATATTCAGGGATTTTCTGCTTTTTTTGTTGAGAACTTTTAAGCCTTTTTTTCCGTAAAACGTCATTTTCTAAACAAATTTTCGTTCAGAAATCGACATCAATAAAACCTTCGACTCCCTGTACATTAAAAACGAAAAATGTTACACCACATGTTTATAGTAACTTTTTACATGACAAAATTCAAATAAAGATTATTATTTTTACTTCATCAATCTAAGCGAATCGCGCCATCTTTGTCATTGAATTTCATTAACCCTCGTCAGCTACCAAACATTCACTCCGGAAATATCGGACTCGTGTTAAATAACACCCTGTATATAATAATATTAAGCACTAAAATATATTTCTCATCATTTTTATTCTTAACGTGGGGTTTTTTCAAACAGGGCGTCGAAAGCGGGACAAAGTTGCGCTTCCAATCACGATTAAAGCGGCGCTACGGGAGCGAAATCGGGCTATCACGCAGGCCATACGTAACCGCGATCGCGTTGGCCTGTCGTGGTAGCGGCGTGGCCCAAATCCGATTTGTAGAACAATTACTTCGCGTAACAATACGCGAAGAGATTGATATGCAAAGTGGATGGATGTGATGTGAACAAACCAGCTCGTGTACGCAAATTACTGCGAACGGTATACCAGTTAACGCGAACGCGATTCAAATTGAATGTAAAATTGCCTCGTTACCGTTACTGCCACTTTATCACCAAACCCGGTATTTGTTAAAGCGATCGTTATTTTTTTTTCCTTTTTTTACATTTTTGGTTAGCGTCATACTGGGTCATTCTTACGGGACAACTAACTAGAATCTCTTAAAATGACAAAAATGACCTTATTGCAATAGAAAATTGCAAAAACCAAAATTGAAGCTTAGCTTCCTATCTTAACCTATTTTTCTAATCTTACAAAACCTTACGGCAATCTGATAAGGAAGAAAAGCAAATATGAAAAAACAGATATACCAAAATAAAAGATATACACATACACTACGAAAGTGACCAGACGATCTTATTAAATCCTTGTCCTCATTAAATTTAAAGCTACTGAGACATATTAAGCTACTTGGTACTTCACTATGACAGCTAAAGGCCTAAAGTAATTCAAACAGAAAGTGTATCATCAAAGATTAAAAAAATGTGTTGAGTTTCATAGAGACATAAGTTCGTGTAACAGTGATTGCAGTAAAATGGAGCAATATTAGAAAAATAAACAAATTCAGTTTAAGACACTGTTAGGTACACCGATATTTCATATTTAAATTTTAATATAATTGAAATCCAAAAGCGTGTCGGAAAAATTGGGTGGTATTTGAAATGCCACTTATGAATTTGTCCGAATTTCGTAAATAACTTACTTTATTCTTAGTTTACAACCCAGGGTGAGAGAAACATAAACAGTAAATAAATAGAAGAAACAGGATCTTTAAAGTTCAGATTTATCATTTAAATAAAAGAATTTACACTGTAATTACTAAATTCTATAGAAAGAAAATGTCAATAAAGATTTACTTGTCCATAAATAATAATTAATACCTAGTAAAAGTCACAACTAATATTACACATATGAAAATGTCGCCTTTAGTGAATTTTATTACCTTTTTTATATTTATTAACTACTAAACAACTAAATTTTGAGAACGGTCTAGAAGGCCTCTAAGTTTCAGTGCGTGGAACTAACCAACTATATAGTCTATTTTCAAGATGTCTTTAAATATATTTTTTAATAAATCGGGAGTTCACTTTGTTACAAACAGATTAAATCCAAGTTTCATTTTTTGAAATCTTGCAATTAAATTGAATTTTGCCATTTGTTCATATTTTTTTTTACTTAAAGTGTTCATTGGTCTAATATTACATTTTCTAATATACAGGCAATTGACATGTAAAAGTAAAAACATCACAAAATGCAAAGGGAGAAGAAGGAACTCCAAGGCTCCATGGATATTAACACCATGTAAAGGTGTTCATGGTTCTAATATATTTTCTAATATCCTAATCAACAAATGCCAAAGAAGAATTAAAATCACTAGGAAAATCATTGGCTAAATAAAACTCCAAAGGAGTAGAACAAACTGTCAAGGATGTTAACACCAACAGCACTTTGAAATCAAAATAAGCATACCAAAAGGCTAAGAAGCTTGCAAACTTAATTTGAATACAATAATTTTTCTAGCAAACTTTCTTCAAAAAAAAACATCTGAGTATTTAATTCACGATAGTTGTAAGCGATTAATGTTTTTCGGAACGGTATCACACCATAACTTTGCTCTTAGAGAAGAACACTACTTGTTGATTTGTAAAAATAGTTCACTTTCCTCTTGGTCAGCAAAGTGAAAACGCCAAAAATCCTTGTTCCTTTTCTATGCCAGGTCTACAATTTCTTCTGACGTGCTTTCCCATTTCCGGTCATTTAGAACACTGCCTTCTTTTGGGCACTCTTTAAAGAGACCTTTCAACAATTCCCGTCTAAGAGCAAAGCACACTATCTTCAGATATTCGAGACAATTAGGTGAATCTGTATTGTATACGAGTAATGCTTTCAACATTTGTTTGTAATTTTCGCTTGTTGACTATCTTCAATGGTTAATCTTTTTGTATTGATTTCAATACATTCATATTCCACCACAGTTCAAACTTTCTAAGGACATTAAAAAAATCTTTTGGGATCGGCGTTCATGTAGCGAAAATAAACCAGAATTCGATCAAAAAAATACAAACCAGCTTCGTTCGGTTGGGAGAAAGTGATATGCCAAATACAAAACGACCCGAACTGTTTACCGCTCAAAATGAATAAGAAAAACAAGTAACGTTCGTAACCTATTGCGACCTCAATATTAGAGCGCGCATAAGAAAATAGCTGCTTTCTTGCCCACTATGAACATGTGGCCGGAAGCGCAACAAAGAGAAACCGGAGATAGTTTTATAGCGATACGATAAGACAAAACCGACAAACACACTGAGACACCCTGCAGAAACGGCTCGAGTACTTCTAATTGGTATTCGGCGTAGGTTGATTTAGAACCAGATGTTTGATCTGCATTCTAAACGGGTTTAACGAACAGGTTGAGGAACTTGAACGCCTTCAGGTGTAAATTCAGTTTGATACCGCGGAACCCTTGTATACAAATTGGTCACAAACCACCACCATTCGCGAGGGATCGACGGTATCTCGTACTCACTTCGCGTACGCCTTCTCCAAGAGGCCCGGCCAGAAGTGATCCGAATTCTGGGACTGCAGGAATGCCAACCTGCCATGGACCGTGGGCAATCTGTCGTCCACCAACACTTCCGTCCACTCGCCGCACCACCACAGTCGGAAACGGAACACCCCCGAGTACTGATCGCCGCTGAACGATTGGTCGGCAGGTACCACCCTGTAGTACAGTCCTTTATTGAGGTAGAGTATTCCCAGGCACGATACCAACCATCTGTCGCCTGTAAAAGTGTTAACAACAAGATGGAAAAATATAGTATATTCATTTATATAGTTATTTATTTATTTGTACAAACTGGCTTGTTACATATAATCTTGTATTACGTAGTTAAATAAATATACTAAACGTAACTAAACTAAGGCTGTAGCAATATGGCTCCAGTTAGGTTTGAATTTTGATTCGGATTTGCAAATAGTGGAGCAGTTAATTAAAAAAAAAAAACATTCCTATAGATGTGTTGGGTAAGTCAGCACGGAAATATTGTAAGCAAACTCCCAAAAACCATATCCAATGTTGCTATACAGAAAATAACCCCTTTTCGTCTCACATCACCGCAAAAATCTGACGTTGTCGGAGATTCAATCAGACCCTTGAAGAGCCACTTAGGAGAGCTTCAAAATGATGTATTACTCAACCACCTTTAAACCGAAAGAAGATATAAAATACCAATAAAATTCGTTTTACTAATTTCGGAATCATAAAAAAATGTGACGTTGCCCCAGGTATCGAATTAGATCATTGAAGAGTCACTTAAGAGATCTTTAAAGTGATGTATTGCTCAACCACCTCGAAACGGTCGGGAAGATATGAAACTACCACCAATAATGAGATACCCTAAAATTCGTTTCATTTATTTCGGAATCTCAAAGAAATCAGACGTTGTAACAGATATTGAAGAACTGCTTAGAAGAGGTTCAAAATGATGTATTACTCAACCACCTTGAAATCTCATTATTGGGGACCGTTTCAAGGTGGTTGAGCAATACATCATTTTTGCATATGTTTTTTTGGAGGAATATCATAAGTAACGAACTGGTCCACTGTAATATTTGCAAATCCGAATCCAAATCCAAATCTAACTTCAGACATATATATATATATACATATATATATATATATATATATATATATATATATATATATATATATATATATATATATATATATATATATATATGGAATTTATATATACAGGGTTTTTCACTTAAAACTCCGCACGTCAATAACTCCAAAACGAAAAGAAATATTTAATTTATGTAAAAAGTAGTCAAAGTGTGGGGTCAAGTAGATATTTCCTAAAGTTTAAAAAATTCGACGCCTGCAAAGAGCTGGGCGTCGCGACGCGTCGAAAAATTATTCGATTGCAGAGACTTTGGAAATACGCGCATACAAAAGTACATATTATTTAAAAATTTTTTGTTATTTACTCAAACTTATTTACTTTACCCGTTTCTAAGTTATACCGATTTAAAGTAAATATTTCTTGATTAATAAAAAATGTGATTAACGCTTATTTTTACAAGTGTGCCATGAATGTTAGTTACTATGGCAACCATTGTTATCGCAGTTGTTTTAAGTGCAATTACAAACAATAGATTTCAACTATTTTAGTATGATTTTATTTATTATTTTTTATCGATTTAGTTCTGATAACATGATAAATAAATGAGAAAACAGTAAAATACCTACAAGTTAATAACCAAAATTATTATTGCAATTAACTACATAATAAGACATTTCAAAAATTTTGTTCAAAATTATGTCCATCTGCTCGAACACAACTATCAAAAACTTTTAACAGATGAGCTTGGGTCACTTGTAGGAGAGTCCTTCTTGTGATAGCGGCACACGCTGCACTAATTTTGTTAATGAGATCAGCCATATCTTCGATAGGTTCTTCATAGATAACGTTTTTTAGGTAGCCCCAAAGAAAATAATCTGGTGGTGTAATGTCCGGGGACCTCGCCGGCCACCTTACCGGTCCATTAGTACCAAACCATCTATTGGGATATTCTCGGTTCAAATACCACGTTACTATTTGGGCATTATGTGCAGGTGCAGGCGCTCCATCCTGCTGTAGCCACATATTCATTCTAGTGTCAAGAGCCACTTCTTCTAATAGTTCCGGAAGTGTAGTTTGAAGAAATCTTAAATAGCGATCTGCATTTAAAGTTCCTTCGTAAAAGTAAGGTCCAATAAGGAATCCATTTAATATGCCGCACCAAACATTGATACTAAAAATTCGTTGCTTACCTCTTTCTGTAATCCAACGAGGATGGTTTTCGGACCAAAAACGACAGTTGTGTCTATTAACGATTCCATTATTTTGAAATCGACTTTCGTCGCTCCATAAAATTTTCGAGAGAAAATTTGCATCTTGGCTATACAAATCGGACAATGTCGCTAAGAAATACATTCTTCTAGCATAATCGCCTGGTTCTAGTTTACTTTTGTACGGGTGAAAAGAGTTTCTATGTAGAATTCTCCACGAAGAACTTATGGTAACACCGGTATTTTCTTTTATCTCTGATAGGGATATCTTGGGGTTATTATCAACCTGCTGAATTACAGCAGCAGTATTTTCATCATTTGTAGCCGTCCTGTTCCTATCTCTTTTAGGTTTTATGAAGCTGCCATATTCTCTTACGTTTACATAAACTTGAAAAGGTTTTTGCATCGGGGACTCTTCTATGCGGATAACGCCGTGCGTAAACTCTTTTTGCTTCTCTACAATTGCATCTGCATTCTCCAAACACCAGTAACATGTCTACTTTTTCCTCATTGCTAAATTGCACCATTTTCACATAATAAATCTTAGTTTTTTTTAAACCGAACAAATTTGGATATTTCTTGTGACAAAATGTGACAATTTTTTGATACAGCAATAACAACTTACGTTTGTAATTGCACTTAAAACAACTGCGATAACAATGGTAACTAACATTCATGGCATACTTGTAAAAATAAGCGTTAATCACATTTTTTATTAATCAAGAAATGTTTACTTTAAATCGGTATAACTTAGAAACGGGTAACGTAAATAAGTTTGAGTAAATAACAAAAAAGTTTTTAAATAATATGTACTTTTGTATGCGCGTATTTCCAAAGTCCCTGCAATAGAATAATTTTTCGACTCGTCGCGACGCCCAGCTCTTTGCAGGCGTCGAATTTTTTAAACTTTAGGAAATATCTACTTGACCCCACACTTTGACTACTTTTTACATAAATTAAATATTTCTTTTCGTTTTCGAGTTATTGACGTGCGGAGTTTTAAGTGAAAAACCCTGTATATATATATATATATATATATATATATATATATATATATATATATATATATATGGAATTTATATATATATCTGTATATATATATATATATATATATATATATATATATATATATATATATATATATATATATATATATATATATATATATATATATATATATATATATATATATATATGGAATTTATATATATATATATATATATATATATATATATATATATATATATATATATATATATATATATATATATATGGAATTTATATATATATATATATATATATATATATATATATATATATATATATATATATATATATATATATATATATGGAACATATGGAATATTAAAATTTAAATCTTATTCTATAAGTAAATGAATCCTTGAGATTTGCACCTGTATGTCTAAAAACATTCCACAATTTTTGCATACCCATTTCGACTGTTTACCTCTTACCTGAAACCAGTTCTAACATATCTGGTCGCAATTTCACTCGTCTCGCCTCTTTTTATACAACGTCATTGGATGCAACCAACACTAAACAATGCGAGGCCACGCCTACGGCGTTTCGGAGGCGAAAAAGACACGTGAGTTTTTGCGTAAAATTGTTCGCTGAATGCGGAACCTACCGATTAAAAAAGGGGGTCTCATTTCAGTGCACACAGGCTTCCTCGTGTCAGCTGTTTTAAAACGTGACAGCAAGCGATTAGCTTTGGTAGACTTTTCGGCCTTAACGGCTCTGATCGCGAAAAAAAAGCTCTCCGGTGGGTATAAAATATTACAGCTGTTATTCTCGTGTTTTGCAACGAGAGGCATTCGAACTCGAGGCACACACACACACACAGACGCCCAGGCTCAACATTTTCACATCCGTTTATGGGACGTATTTCCTCCGATGACGCACACGCGAGAGGTGTCGCCCATAAAAAAATAATCGAGGCAGCGAGGATTATGCGGTGCATCTAGAAGTAGATATACTCCGTACCAGTTTAAGTTTTAGCATGGCTGACGAAGCTGTTGTTTTCTTTGTACAAATGTACAATCTGACAAGTACCGAATGTTGTGTGGTACTCAATAGGGAACTCGAACAAATTTTATTTTTTTTTTAAATATTGCTTATAAAAGCAAATTTAAAGATCCCCAAATATGTGACCGGTTGTGACGTCAATCCGCTACTAACCATTAGAGAACGACAACGCGTTCGTCTTGGTGGTTGTAATTTTAATTTTAATATTGATCCTGTCGCTTGCTTTTGTTATCTTGTGTTTAGTATCAAACAGAAAGTTTTGAAAATGACCGAATCCGATTTTTTAAAACGTCAATCTGATGATTTACCTTTAGTGGATATGTTTATGGTGACGTCTTACATACAAAATACCCAAAGTTTTTCTTTAGCCACCAGTTTTAAACTAATATAATATTGTAATCAGCTTAAAATTTTCTAGTTTTTAAAATTCAAATAGTATATAAAATAAGATGTAAATTATTCAACAAAAAAAAAATTTTTTTAAAGTAGTGGAAACGTAAATACTGGTTTTAAAGTATATTGCCATTGATAACTGTTACAAGGCCATTCCTATGGAGGCTGCAACAGGTTGAATGCAAGAGTACAAAATTTTTGTACGGTCAAGGTGAAAGTGACACCTGAACATGATATTGACAAAAAACGATTGCTTTTATTTTGTGATAGACGAATAAAAAGTTTATGTGGGGTTTTCTGGGTACTGAAACACGATGGCACGATTTGTAATATTGTTTTTGTATTGCTTTCATTATTATCATGTAAAGCACAGTAAGCACAAATACAAACACACCTTTACCTGAGAATAACATTACAAAATGTCGCCGTATGGATCGAAAAGCAGCGGTATGACGTCACGATCATTCCCGCGTGTTTAGTGTCGTTTAAAATGAATAGCCCCGTGGCACA